CAGGCTCGCCTAAAAGCGATGACTGACGACGATTGGGCCACGTTTACACAGGAATGGAGGACAACCTACTACGTATTTACACGGGAATTTGTGCCTGGCAAGTCGGAGTGGAAGGATATTGATACTCACTTCTACGACGCTCTTCGGGAACTGCTGGACAAATGGGGACTTTCCGGCATCTACGCAGACGATGAGACGCAAACCATAAGCCAGATCTGGCACAATCTCAAACCGTGGGATGACTCCGCGGCAGGCATCCAACGACTAGGGACTCAACTTGTCACATCGACGCTATCCAATGGCAACCAATCCATTCTCAAAGATCTCAACGAGTACGGAGATCTAGGCTTCCGGAGAATAATATCAACTGCCGACTTTGGCGCTTATAAGCCGCATCCGAGTACATATTTAGGTGCAGTAGGTGCTCTTGGGTTTCGGCCCGAGGAGGTGGCTATGGTTGCGGCTCATCTGGGGGATCTTGCAGGAGCACGGTCGAGTGGCCTTAGAACGATCTACGTGGAGCGGCCTAGGGAAGAAGCCTGGGGCGTTGAGGAAGACCGCTACAAGGAAGCTCGGGAATGGGTTGATCTATGGATTGCCCAAGATGAAGGTGGCTTTCTTGAAGTAGCAAGGAGACTCGGTATATCTGAGTAAAAGGTGCCTAACCCCGTGGATATACTTGCTTGATCGAATATCAAACTAGGGATTTGTCATTATATTTCTTTTTCATAATCGCAAATGATAAGTAGCTTGAATGATACGTCAGGTATCATAGATAGATGCGAAGAAGATAGCAACCCAACCAATCTCACTCGAGGGTTTGCGAGGTTCCGAGCCCGGGCGCCCGGATAGCTTCTAGGCTATCAGTTTGATCGCAACCGCAGAAGGCAAGAAGCTTGAAAGTAGCGATAGTGCGGCATATTTAAAACGTTTCGTGATACCTAGGGATGATACCTGCCTGGGTAGGGAGTAGGATGCCCAATCTGTAAATCCCGCCGACCACATGGAAGCTTCGATTCTTGAACAAGGTGCTTTACCCACGAGCAATGATGTCTATATTAATATTTAGCTTGTCATAATGGAACCTATATGCCAGGCGGATCATGAGCCGTTATGAATGGATTATTTTACTGTGAAGTCAAACATCTTGGCTTATATGGTCGACCTTAGTTAGAAGTGGCTGTATGTAATTTGGACAATGCAACGATAGACCAGTTTAAATTTGCTGCGGTTTTTACCTTTTGAAGACCTGGACCCTCATGCACCCCATCCGTGGTCGAATATTAGGGGTAATAATATCTGGGAACTGGGGATGGGGTCATCTTTATAGGGAATATGAAATGTTTTTCTAGCTAGGTATTCTGAGAGTTTTTACTCTAGTCTCGGCAATGCAAGTTGGACCCGGGAAAAGGGATTGGAGGCCTTCGTTCACACCACTAGTTCATTGCTTATCTCAGACAACCCCCTGGGACACTTTGTCTTGTCGGTGGAAGATGAGTTGAGAAACTCTGAAGTCCTAAGAGAACCATATACAGACGTCCCACCCCAAAGGAGAAATCGGAGACGGGATAGTTTGCTGCCTGCATCTCGTCACATCGGCCAACGTCTAAAGTAGGTTTATGTGAGTGGCACGGACATCGGCGGGACTAGTTCCATAGCAACTCTACACAAACAGACAAGCCATAGACCATACATAGTAAAGGCTTCATCTGTACGACTTTATTCGTTTGCGATAGGTGAATTCGCGCATATGCGGTATCGCAAGTTAAGCGCCGCTAAGTCTGGTCTGTACGCATAACATATGGGACACGGGCGCGCGCCCCTCAACAACCAAGTTGAGGGGTTTGCCAAGACGAGAAAAGTCCTTGCGCCTGTGAAACGTAATTAAAACGGTGATTGGAAAGGTGACTGGAGATCAGCAAGCGTGACGGTTAAGATGGAATACCTCCATGTGAATTACCTACGCCGCACACATACGCCGCGTGTATGATAGACTTCACCTCTTAGACTGACCAATAGTAAAGGTGACGAAGACGACTGTGGACGATCAAAAGGATAAAACTTCCTAACCGAAGTGCGTGCCAGGAGATACGCGACGATGCTTATTCGTTGTTTCTATTGATAAACCTGTAGGTATGGTAACATTGCTGCGGAATGAAAGAGTCTGACGGAGGGATTCATTCGTCGACCTGTAGAAATGCGAACTGTGTCTTGACTTGAAAGTTATACCTAATCCAGTCGTTTAAATTGATGTTTTAAAGCTGCTTGGTGATTGACCTGCATCATTTGTTGTTTGTTGTTTGTTGGGAATAGGATATGGATCTGGCACTGGTCTTCGAGTCCGGCGAGTACCGTATAAGCAAAGCTGCTGTCTTATCTTTTGCAGCCTGTTCTTGGAATAACTCTAGTGTCATACGAGAAGTTCCAACGTGAGGTAATAGGCAAGTAAACGATGTTGAACCGTCAAATACTCTTGCAATCCGTATTGGACAGTATCTGCGGACCTGGAAACCTAGGAACCTCGAGACAGATTACAGGGAGAAAAAACACCGACATACTTGCGGTCATAGTAGCAACGATAAATGCAAGGTATATATTTTTCCACCTTTAGACGCAGCGAAAACCGGACGCAGCAGCTTTTCGAGTTCAGAGTTCGGTGTTTGAGACTGTGTTCTTGTACGCACATTGGTTGTTGAGCCTCAGTTGTTTTAAGAGCCGCCGAGTTCAAAGTCCCTACTTCTCGAAAATGGAGTCCCGAGGAAAAAAATACTTGTTTTTAGACACACCGAGAAATCAATGCATCCTTTCGGTAAAGAATTAAGGATGATTTATGATAAAGAGGAGTATATACCTACCTCCTAACGTCAGGAATCGGAAAAACATGGAAGAAAAAAAAACCCCCAGGAAAAATGCCTATAAGTAAAGATACCTGCTCATGTTAAAAACAAGTGGGAAAGCAATGTAGGCACGTGCCTGTAGTTCTGCTTGATTGCATCACATTCGGGGTTTGTTATGACACTCTATGACTTCAGATTAAGTTGTATTGTGTGGTAATTGATGAGGAGAGATGTATGAGCTCGAGATATTTACGGTTGCGGTTGTAGTTGTAATTATTAGTCGAATCGTATTAGTCCAAGCGGGTTATATGAGGTAATACTTCAAGATATACCAAAAAGTATACCTAAAGGTAAGTATATGCATGCATGTAACTACCTAAATTACCTAAATTATGTACTTGCCTCACATAGGTAATCCGGGTACTTGATATATGTACCTCCTAAGGTTAGGTTAAGTCATGGAAGTTGTTACCTTCAATTACTGAGAGAAGGAGAAAAAAAAACCTCTGCAAATGCGGATCAGTTTTTACCGTCTCATCGCTTCTGGTCTGAAGCGTTAAAAAGTATTCGCATCGCATCTACGCCCACACCAAAGTATTTTTTTCTTCTTCTTTCCTTTTCTCTTCCCCATCCCTCTTAAAAAGGGCATATGATTCTGCCCTCTTCTTTTACCACGTCTAAATGCAATTATCATACATGACCTACCTAGCATCAGGTACCTTAATATCATAGAATAAATGCAACTTTGCATACTCAACCTTATACCTTTCGACAACATTTCAATAACATTTTCGATAACACGATAACCATTTCAATCTCGTCAACGTGGTTCCACATTAATTCAGACAGAAATCGACAAGGTTAATGGTTTACTGAGTTGATCCTTGCTTCTATATATACATTGGATACATTGGAAGAATACGATACAATTCAGTTACAATTCAATTCCTGAGTGGAACTCGGCTCAGCCCAGAGAGGCGTCGCGGCGTCAACAACGTAACATAGCGGCGACAAACAAGCGACAGGACGAATCGGCCGAACAATAACGATTTAATAGTTTAAGGGGTTAAAAGTAATAAGACCTGCGAGCACGGCTTTATATAACGACCGAGCTGTATTTTGTCGTCAACTCCACAAGAGCTACCCCCCTCCCCCCTTGGCAAGCTTGTCTAGGTTTGGTCCCTAAGTTCGGTCCTTAGGTCCTTAGGTCCTTACAATAGGTACCAAGTTAACAGGTTAATTCCAGGTCCCATAGTAGTGGTCTCTTTACTTTCCCATCTCCCAGCGCCACCTGTGCAATTACACTGGGAGAAGCTATTCATTGGTTGGCTGTTTTGCCCAAGGACTCCAGGATAGCCATTAAAAATCCCCAGGGCCTACGCCAGGGAAACATTGGCTTTGGGTCGTTCTCCACCTCCGCTTCGCCAATTCAAAAAAAAAAAAAAAAAAATCAATCATCCCGGCAACGGGTACTGTACCGCACCTCCGGCTAGCAATAAACCCAGCACTACCTTACCTAGCCACTACCAATCCTCGCCCAATCCTCTCCCATCCCAGCTTTCTTACAGGTTCCTAGGTTCCTAGGTTCCTAGGTTCCCTCAACTGTAATCGGAGTCTGGAATCTCCCTATCTCATGCACTACCTTACGCTACCCTACAATACCCTACATTAAGAGGTACCTTACCTTACCTACCCTACCTACCCTACCTGTCTTGTCTACGCTTAATTTTCTACATAGAGCTCAGGCCCTCCCAAAATCTCAATTCTCCACAATCCTCTACAAGGAACCTACCTGTCTCCTGCTCCTTGCTTCCCTCCTCTCCTTCTCCGTTTTTTGTCTTGAGCTAAAAAGTACGGACGTCGCTGCGATCAATACAGTTCTTCTTACTCCTCATACTTTCTCTCCGACGAATTGACTCGCCCCTCTCTCCCTCCCATCTCATCTGGGTCGACTCCTTCTAAATCAGCTCAACATAGCCGAATACCTACTGCGGCCCGACCAACTTGGCCACTTCGCCTATTATACCCCGTGCTGAGTCTTAATATTCTAAGTGTCTTGAGGACTTTATCTCTTGCTTCCGTCACCATTTCTTCGTCACATCTGGTAAAGCAAAAAAACAAAGAGTATTGCTTGGTCCTGTGCGACCGCATCCAAGTTACAATATGGCGGGAAAAATGGTTCTTTATAAACTGGTGGTCCTCGGTGACGGTGGTGTCGGTAAAACAGCTTTGACAATTCAGTTATGTCTACAACATTTCGTTGAAACTGTGAGTCCTCGTCCCCCCTAAAAGTATATTATGCTCGCGACTACTCCCGTATTAGCATTGTAGTTTGCGCGCGTAATCAATATTTAGAGTACAGTTGCTAATGATTTCTATGATATAGTATGATCCGACAATTGAAGACTCGTACCGAAAACAAGTCGTCATAGATGGCCAGGCTTGTATGTTGGAAGTATTGGATACCGCTGGCCAAGAAGAATACACAGCCTTACGAGACCAGTGGATTCGAGATGGTGAGGGTTTCGTACTAGTTTATAGTATTTCGTCTCGGTCGTCATTTTCCCGAATCAAGAGATTTCATCACCAGATTCAACGGGTAAAAGAATCATGCTCGGCATCACCCACCTATCCTGGCTCGCCGATATCTACAATAACGCCCCCAAGTGCGGTACCGATTATGCTAGTTGGTAATAAGAGCGACCGAGTAACGGAGAGAGAAGTGTCGACCCAAGAGGGTCATGCTCTAGCGAGGGAATTAGGTTGCGAGTTCGTCGAAGCATCGGCTAAGAACTGCATAAATGTTGAGAAGGCTTTCTATGACGTCGTTAGGATTCTACGCAGACAGCGACAACAAGCATCTCGGCCGATGCCGCAAACCGGCCGCCCACGACCTCAAAATGGAGAAGCTCCCCACAGGGAACCTGGGGATAGGTATAGGAGGAACCGCCGAGGTGGAGGTGGAAACGGAGGACGCTGCGTCATATTATAGATGGCGTCTTATCCTTAGCATTACATGCGCTCTCGCGCGTTCATGACCAGCATCCTGATGACGAATTTGTTCCAGTGTTTGGTTGCGTGCTCCAAGCTCTAATACGATCCCCGAAATGATGACAACATCAAGCATGCACGCATACGACAGCGCACTTGGACCATACTGTGTTCATACAACATAGAGGATTATTATATACCTCTTCTTACATTGCACTCCATACATCTACTAGCTATCGAATCGGCGAATGGCGTACGAAAAAAAGCGGCATTATTGGGCGCAAGTATCTTGGTTACCCCGAGTAGGGATGAAGATGTTTTTGGGCAAGCTGGGTGGACGGCTACGCTGGTGTTTCGGAGTCTTAGGGCGTGCCTTGCCCTCAGGCCAATATGAGTTTTGTCAGTCACGTCTTGGACACACTATGAAGATGTTTATATTGTTATCGAATATGTGTTGGATATGTGTTCGCCATCTATCGATTTCTGTGTTTTGGAAATCTCGCAAAAAGGAAAAGGGCGCAGCTGTCTGATAACCTGAGGTTTCAGGGCACCTGGTTTTCTTTATCTCGAGCCGAAAACTGTCATTGTTACTCGAACCTATCTATCATAGAGCCTATGCATGCTCAGAATTGATCTACCCACTTGACCACATCTTGATTGCTTTGATGACTTATTTGTGGACCACTTTTTTCGTGAATTAATATGTATGTACCTTGCTGCCCTTGCTGCCCTTGCTAGGAATATAATTCCCGAGTCCTTCCAGACGTTCGTTACCCCTTGACGCCTCCTAGATAATACCAGCCGCCTCATAATTACCAAACCCCTTCATAAGTCGTAAGAGGTTACCCAATGGTTCAAAATTTCCACTACGCCCTACTCCAATCGCTAATCCTTCGAAACACATGGAAAACTACTAACGCGTGCTAGGGCATTACGCGGAAACCGGACCGGGGGGTTCGAGGCCAAAACGGCCCATAATCCGTAGTCTAATCCCGGGGCTTGTGTACTTACATAGTAAAGCCCGCGAGAAAAAGAAAAAGAAAAAAAAAGCATATCTACCTTAATGTGCAATGCACGAGCAAACATTTGTATAACAGAGATAATCAACGGTGACCTTACCGATGATCTCAAGCACAGCCCAGGTGAAGGGGCTTGTCAATATTTGTTTTGACGAACCGGTGAGGAAGTATGCAATCTTGGTGGTTGGGTTTACGGTCTACGAAATAGAGTGGACTTGATGCTAGAACAAAATAATAATAGTTCATAGTTGGCATAATAATGGACAGCTGTACATAGGTAGTGTACGTATGTAGGTAGTAGTATGTATGTATGTATGTATGTAGTAGGAGGTGTGTGTAAAGGGAAGCGGACGGGATCCACGTCGCCAATCAAAAAGCGTCTAGGTCCGTCTCAAAACAGTCCAGGCTTTGAATAAAGGTCGTAAGCTTTGTGGGGAACCCTTTTGTCATTAGGCACCAACTCCTTGTAGTTGGTATTAGACCAACATGATGGTACCTAGTTCGAGTAGGCTCTGGTACGGTAATAAGGTGACCCTGTTCTTGCTCGGCATCTAAACCGACGCTGCGCTACCGCTAACCGCTAGGAACTAGGAAGCGAAATAAGACATTGCCGGGAGATCATCATAGCTCGAGCAACGGCACTATATACTAACGCGGTAGATATAGCAGTTTGTTATCATGGGGAGCGAACTCGTTCTTCGTGATGGATGGTGGCTCCTTTGCATGTATGGTAGGTATGTAAATACACTACCTATGATATGTGCTGTGTGCTATATGCTATGTATGGATGCATGTACGTGCGTGCGTGCGTCTGAAGCGGCAAAGACCACCAGTTTGGGGCTGGAGCTTAGGTATCATAATAACCGTAGTGATCATTCGGCCGTGTTTACTTAGCCGCGCAAGCTACCTACATACATAATACGTAGGTAGGTATGTATACATATAGGTACTCGCTGATCATATAATAATAACCGTAGCTACATAGGTAAAGGTACTTAACCTATCCACGAATGTAAATCCTCGACGGTGACGTGACGGCATCCGATATGTCGGCGCCAACATCGAGTCTGGGCACGGCTAGATGCTGGAGAGGGAAGTGTTGGCGTGTTGGCTTGTTTACATACCTCTTTAGTTATCATGTAACTGCCGTAAAACCCTATGTACTTCTATACGAGTACAACGCGTGTACGACCTGTCAGCGTAAAAATCATCGAATTATTATGATTCTATTACCGCGGCTAGCTGTTGTAATACGTATATACTTTGGGTCTCCTTTGGGGTAGGCTGCTCATCCATCTGCTCACTACCCTCTATCTAACCTTGCACCTTGCACCATCGGTGCTACCTAGACTACGGATTATGACATAACTTAGTTGGATAAATTAGGTAGGGAGCGTAGCCAATACCATGTTTACGAGCGGACCTGTCTTCGGTACTCGTTGCTCTAGGTGTCCTACCTAGTAGCGTAGCTCACCTTGGACCTTTAGGTACATATGTAAGTATGATTGCCTGCCGGTACTTGCATACAGGCATGTATTAATATGCTATGGCCGCAGAAGAGGCCGCTTGAACTTCTTGTCGCATGGTCTTTATGTATCCCTATGTGAGTCTGTCTATATAAGGATTTGTGTATACAAATACATAAAATTTACCTATAACTATAACTAGAACATATACATACCTCGTATAGTTCCGTGGCGCCGCAAAGGTAAGCTGCCTAAGTAGCTAATAGGTACATATTTAGCATGTATGTAAGTCCGAGCAATATGCCAAGACTTATAAGAGAGGCGGAGGGCGGAGAGATTCTCGGGTTACCTTTATTGAATAAGCATCAGTTTTACCTTCTAACCCTCCCTTTCGCTCATACACCACTCACTATTGGAGTTAAACGATAGCCGGGACTAAGATATGTAATATTACGTTTTACCACATACTTCGGCCTTCTTTTCCTACTTACTTACATATTAGTACGACACCTAAACCAATCGATCCATGCAGGTTATACAAGGGTGTCTTCCCGGACTGGAGGATCTACCAGGTAGATGAGAATAAGGTAATCATTTCATATCAAGGGGGTTTTGCGCATTCCGCAATTTCTCGGGTCCTGACTTGCCTGCCGGAACGCGGAAATTCAACCCGAGGTGGCACGGCTTGCGTGCAGTCCGTGTCCCTTGTGTTCTTGTGTTCCTTATGTCCCTTGATATAACAGACACGATCTTGGTGCCAAAATCTGATAACTGTGGGAGTATCTCCTGTTAAGGCGACTTAGACAAGCATGTCACCATTTCACCCAAGGAAGGTCGAAGCTATTCTATCACATCTCAACTCTTTGACAGGCTCCTTAACAGGCTTCTTAACAAGTTTACATTACCGATGGTAGGTATCACACGATGTACTTCCAGTCTACATACATAAACACGGCATACATAGCACACAATCTAAGCCTTGTCAGTCTTAGTCAGTTCGGAAACGTTCATCTAGCTGGGATCGTCGGGTTAAGCTGGGCACACTGGGCACACTGGGCAGTTGGGATGATGCCGAGAATTTTGCGTTCCGCTCTGGGAGCAGCAAAGCGGTCGACATCTAAATTCTGTCGTAAGACTGGCGGACTATAGCTGTCATCCCTCGGCTGTTCCCGTAACTACCCGATCCTATTCGCATCCTATCGGTCTTGAGTGGGAACACGCTACCGGTGACTCCGGAGCCGGCGCGGCTGTTCGCTACAATACATGACCCAATTCGCATTTCTACATACGACTGTCCCGGTACTCGTCCCCCTACCCACGAGCTTGTAAATCACTGAATACTGAATACTACGTCTGACAACAGGCCGGAGAGAGCCCGCAGTACCCCCCCTTACGCTGGGTAATCTTACCACGTTTCATTAATAACGAGCCGTTAAGGGATGGGAAAATAAAAATTACCCGTTACCAACTTCGTAACATTTTTAAGTGGTAAGTAGCCTTGTGGGGGGGTTACCGAGCCAAAGCGGAAGGTCGAGCGTTTACTAGGTATTATAATGAAAACAGCAAAACAAGCGAATGAAGGGGAGAGCAATGATAGAATAAGGAGAAGGAAAATTTCCATACCGTCAAGGGTCTCTTTTCCATCATCAACCTTGCATTTATACCCTTTAGGACTAGTCAGCGTAGGAAGCACATCAACAACATTCCATAAGCCCTGTCATTCATCACTGGGTAAGTCTCGTTACCAAGTTTGTGTCTTTTCGTCTTTCCTCAACTCGGCAGTCAGGATACCTACGAGCCATACAAGACTTCACGCACCTGTTGATGACCGCAGATTACTTTCTGGGCATCACTCAATAGTTTGTCCGGCAAGTGTTTCAACTCCCGCGCCTAATATTTCCCACATGCAAATAGTACGGATCGTACCCGAGGATGTAGGGTTCGACCCCCCCTGTGACCTCTTGCCGTCTTCACCGAATGAAAGATTCTTTATGGCTGTACATATCCCTTTTTACTTCTTGCAGACTTAGTGCTGACATATGATGCAAGAACATCTTCTACCAGATCTCAGCCCAGGTTTGAGCATCATCATGTCCCCTTTCCCATATACAGCTATACCCGAATATACAGGCGGCTCTGAAAACCCTATTGCGGTCAGACAAGCATTGTCCCCACGGCAGGCAAACCCCTTGACGCCGGACGACCGGTCCAAACGCGTGGTTATACCAACCCCACAGCTTAATCTTCCCAATGCCACGGACGCGGTTTAGGGGTCTAACCTCGCTAATCCTGCTCCTACGGGCAATATCTTCCTAGCTCTCGAATGCTCGTAATTTCTTACGGTGGGACCATACTACATAGCAGCTACAAAGCTTCTAAAAGGGTAAGTTAGGTAGGTATGTACATCGAGAAAGAAGTTCGCCCCTTGAGCCTCTCTGCAGAAGGTCTAGCATCCCGATCCTTCACAACGTTGGCTGCTTGTCCTCCCCCCCCACGTGCCACGTTGGCTTAAGCATCATCTGCACATAACAACGCTTAGCGTACATCCGAGCCGGAAAACTCGAGGACGCACGTCGAGAGTGGGTTGGCCGCTCGGGAGCACGTAGATATAACAGGTATATAAGCAAGCGAGCATTACCACGTCAGCACGTGGTACACGCCTACGGTACAGGACATATCGCCGTCTACAAAAGGGGAGCAGTGCCTCTGCCGTTTCAGTCCCGCTGCAGAAACACTTCGGCTGTCCCATGGTCTAGCTGATTTAACCAACATCTGCCGCGGGATTCCAGAGGGAAACTCTTGGGAGTGTAGGAGAGGTTTCCCTTTTTCCCATCCTCTAAATCCATGCGCTGTTTCTCCTTCCTTTCTCCGGCCGGGCCGTCCCGTCTCCCACTATCGACCGGTGTGCGAGTAGCGAAAACTCGCCCAGGGGTCGCGATCCTTCCCGACAGCGAGCCTGTGCTGGTACGTGCGTGTATGCGCGCGGGCGAGCGCGGCTTCGATGTCGGCATTTATGGTAGGTCGCGAAGGTCTTTTTTCCCCCTTTCGTCCACGCTGCCCGTATACCCGTCTACGAATAGGATCGAGTTGTTTTACGCCGAACGCGCGGAACAATTCTCGAAACTTTTCTTCCCTGCCGGCAAGGGACTATCGCCGACTTCCTTCGGGGCTTTTTTTTTCTTGTCTTGTCCTTTAAGCTTGTGCGCTTAGACGCCGCGTGGCGGTAGGTGAGAGAACGCATACATTAATGTTTTTTTCAGCGTGGCACACATTTCTGTAGTCGGCAACGCCATATGCACTCTTCGCCCGTATAATTTCGGGCCTAACGGTCGGCGTTTTCGCTGCATGAGAAGTTTTCGCCTCTAACGTAAGGGAATTCAGCCATGTTTATGCTTTAGCTGGGCGTGGGATCATGTCTTGGGGGTCTTCCGAGTCTTCTCGCGGGGGTCGCTTTTGCCTTATGCGGTAGGTCTTACATATGTTATAATCTGAAGGGTGTTCGTACTGTCAGCGTTGGTGTGTCCCGATCCGTATCATGAACGGTGATCTTAAGGATATAAGAAGTCGTAATACCATTTCCGCCCATGGTATCAAGATATATCTTAAAGCATGCAAGTAAGAGCCGGTTAATCCAACCTAGGAAAAGATATATATTCCAAATATAGATCCCTATAAAATAGATACCTTAGTCAACCGATTTGAGCATCCCCCCATCTTTGCCCATTTCTAGGCTTGGAAGACTCACCTTACCTACATAGATGGGATGTATATACGTACGTCACGCTGCATAAGTGGCTGGCATACGGCTTGTCTCCCACACTTCCCCCACGGCTGTCGAACCTGCATTCCTCTACGTGGGTGGTCATCCCCTGGAAATCTATCTAGATATGAGACTCATTTACCTGCAGGGAAAATGCTGTTGTTCATGCAGAGTAAGCATTAAGAATGTTTGCCATAGGCACTTCTCCTTCTAGAATGCGGAGTGCATCCAATGGATAGATCTAGGATTTAACCCCCATTTCCTCCTTTTCTTGTTTTGTCTTCCTTCACACTTGACAAATCCGGAATTTGTGTATCATTACCTAGGTAGGCAATAATTCCGGAAGGGAATAGTAATCTGTTAATACGTCGAATTCAGAGATCGATACAACTCCGCGTTGCTGGTTCTAGTAATTATTACTCCTATAGATATGGTGTATCTGTTATATTGTGTGTATTCGGTCATGTAGAAACCCGTCTCCGTTAAAGCTACGTCTCGAGGACATATCCGTAACCCAATTACGCCTATTATATCCTAACCTGTGTTCATAGGACGCACCAGAAAAGACCAAATATAAACATATCTATCAGATTCCAACACGTTAAAGTCTCCAGCTCTCATCTTACAGGATTGCCACGTTTAACCAGTCAATAATGACAAGTGTGAAATGTAAATATTAAGCTTGTACTAATTATGAAGGACAGAGGTCACCTTAAATAGATATAATACCATTCCCATAGTGTCACATATAATTACAAATCCTCTTAGGATTCCTGTTTTCGGAGCGTAGACCATCATAGTATGTATTATACAAGTTTATGGTACATGTCTACCTATATATAAGTAGTAACAATACATACTACAAAGACTCCCCTTTACTTAAACCAAAAAGTCACGTAAGGGATTTTTTTAACGATGCTATTAATATCCAGCTACGTGCTCTATTCTTCACAGGTAGACTAGCTAGTTATCCATGAGAGTAAGTGGGAAGTTCTTCGATTTCGGAATAGGAGACGTGGGATAGTAACTTCTCTTCCTCCACGAAGGGGCAATGTTGCTCAGTAGAGATGTTACTCTTCGGGAAGCAATGGTTGTCTGGTAGGTTACTTATGTAGTATATATAATGAGGTAAATCTAGAAGGCATAAAAATAACATTATCGTCCCGTAAGAAACTCCAAACCGAAACTATGGGAGCTCGTAGCTACTTGCCTTAAATAGGTATAACTATGTACTAAAAGCATCCTTTGTTCTAGATGTCTCATCTCAGCTAGAATCTTGATAGAATATATACAAATAAGGACCTAAGGTATCTATGTATGCTGCGATCAGTATATGATACTAACAACCGGTCTGTACGTGATCGCGCAGCTTCCATTACAAGAAAGAAAAAGCCCCTATACCAACCGTTGGGCACACAACAACTATTGCTATTGTATAACCAATATTACTATTGAATCCAAGAATCATTGCTAATATATATCTTGCTCTCGTTATGATAGGTTAAGAAATATTTATGTATATAGGAGTCGGGGAGACCATGAGATGGATTTAGTTGCAGATGCAAGAGGCCGATACACCTGACACATGGGGTTACCTGTCTTTATCAAAGAAGGTAATGTTAACCTTCTTCACTGGAATTGTAGCTTGGGTTCTCTTTTGTGGTACAGCAGAGCTCTATTTTAGCACATTCTAATAATACCTGGTGAGCAGTAGCAGACTGAGAAAGGTTGCTTGGGATAATTCGATGGATTCATGCTACAGTGTATTCCCTAAGGGGCATGGGTATACGCGCATTCGGGTACCAGCAGAGACATGGGGGATACGGTTAATCATTAGATTACCTAACAGAAGCAAGCTTTTTCTCATCACGAAAGCCTTCCTGCCTGTTGATCTAAAAATGGAAGTCGGAATTTTTGACTGTGCGAGCTGATAGAATGCCATACGTGCATGTAAATGCATTGGTTTCTTATGATGTCTGTCGCATACATAATATAATTGGCATGTAGAAAGACTGTATCGTTTGGATATCTACTACGTTATGTAGGTGCTGATGCTTTAAAAAAGACACCAGAACATTAGATCGAGATGGCTTATGAAAATGCGTACACCCCTTATCCGACCAAGTATTAAGACGGGGATACATTAGGTACTCTTATTAGGGGCAGTATGAACGTTACTGGTGGGTTTGAATATCTGCATATATACTAAACGCCCACCGTCTACTCCGCTCTCCGGCGGGAAGCATTGAGTAGCGGCGGCATAGTAGAAAGATACATATGCTTACATTCTTTATCTAACATAAATAAATACCTAAGATATATACTCACAGCCTCTCCCTCTACTTCTCCGCTGAACGCCTCTCCGGTCGGACAACGGATGGGTGCATGCAGCAAGCAATTGAAAGGCTGCAGTACGAGTCTTCCTCGGGCCGCCATGTCAACATCAACACCTTGGCATAAGCATCATGCCGCGTTGGGAAGATAGACTTACCTTGCTACCTAGCCTACCTGTGATCTAAACATGAAAGTACGGAGCCGAGACGCGTAATGTGAGTATGAGCTTGTAAAAATATGTCGACTCGGTTTAGCTAGCTTAAAGCACTAATAATGCTAGTGGAACTCGAGCTAGAGGTACGTAAGAGTGGTTAATATATAGTACGGTATTTTAGCACTATTTCGATATCATGCTGCCCATCACGGCCTGGTCAGAACTAAAGGGTTATACACTGCAAGTGGATGGGGCTGCGAATATAGGTCTATAATATAATATCAATTCCATACCATAACTATAAAGACTATTTCAACTCGAGAAACTGCTAAGATTGATACCACACTGACCGGACTGTCAGACTGAGGTAAAGAGGGTAAGGCAAGACGCAATATGGAGAATACGTGGCTAACACTGATATCCTACACTATTGGTATATAGTAACTGAAAGACCCTTCAAAGCTGCATTCATGCTGTTGTAGGGATTGCTATTAATGAACAACGAATACGACTCGTATAGAGTAAAGGTGGCCATTAATATTATTTTCTTGCCATTTACGAATCATGTTAGCACAGTTCCACAGATTCATAAGACCTAAGTCACATTGATGATAACTATCAAAGTATGGTAGCGTTCGAACAGATCGTATTGTTTGTCTCTGGGGCCCTAGAGGCTTACAAAAAGGGGCAACACAATACATAGCAAAAGACAGGCTAGCCGCAATAGCGACACCAGCAACCATCTACACGAGGGCACTATAAACTGTCCCATTTCATTCGTATCTCCAAACCGAGACGCCGTACCGTAAAGATCCAGCCCAGCACTCGTCCCACTGCGATCCCAAGGTCGCAGTAGGTGGTATGAAAAGAATCAACAAAAGCTGGCTTGCCGACCGACTAACAATAGCAAAAGAAAAAAAAAAGTCCAGACTAAGTAAATACCAGAAGTAGTGTAAAGTAGACGAGTATATCCCCATTTGTCACGCATTTCCCATATCCCATCATGATGGTAGACGTCATGTTAGATCGAGGCTAGATTATTCTCGTAAGGCATTTTCGTCGCCGAACGGGCTGCCGTCTCGCCCTGTCAAGGATTTGCTTCTGTCGACCCTTCTGTTCGAGTCTCCCATTACTGCACTAAGGGAGCTGTTGTTTTTGTTCCCACGGCTAGGTGGATCTGCAAAGGGACCCTGATCTACAACCGGCGTATCCTCAATTATTGTCACCGCATTTGACTCTCTCTCCTTGTGTGGGTTATCGGACTCCTCAATAGTGTCGGGGGAAGATTTCGATTTTACATCAACTGTCTTGGGTCCGCTGCCAACACGGACCATTTGAGGCCGCACAGCAGTCGCCGTTGAAGCGCTGGCGTTTTTGAAAAAGGTAGCGCCAATACTGAAGGCTGGAGAAGCAGGTGGTTGATCGTATTTTTCGTAGTCGACAGCTGGTACAGGCGGCGTTGAACTGCCGCTGTTACTGCTAGGAGCGCGCGACTTAACGCTGATGATAGACGGTTTGAGAAAATTGCCCTTCTGAGCTGGGAGAGGGGAAATAACGGCGTTCTTTCCATATATAGTAGATGCAACACTCGATCGTGGAGCATATGACGTCCGGGCAACTGATGAACGGTCACTGTAACCGGATATGCCCGAGTACGTCGAGTCTCGAAGGTCGCCAGGAACGAAGAAACGCTGTTCGTCAAAGGGCGAATTGCTGCCGCTGTCCGAGTGCGCGATAGGAATCGGTGGTACTGGAGGAACAAGTAGAGTTGGCGATGTTGGCGTAGCTCGGTTAGTTACTCCAGGAATATATGCGATCTGGATAATGTTCGAAGCGCGGGTTAGGACGGTAGATGCGATAGAGTGTACGGTATGTGTCGATGCTCGTTTCGATCGGCCTGAGCCATCCAACTCATTTGGCATACTCATAGCCTCCTTCGTATGCTCTACGTCTCCTTGCCACGGCTCTGGTTCATATTGAGACCTCTTACTCTTGATACAGAACCTCCAGACTAAATAAGTGATAATTGCGACAGCAGTCAAGCCTCCCACCACGCCACCCGCAATCGCACCAGAATTCGGTCCTTTACTGACTTGGGGAGCGGTAGTATCGGCGGTTGGATCTTTTAAACAGAAGGCCTGAGGGCATTCAGTGCAGGTCTGAACACTAAATTGGCATATTTCATCGTCGGCACAACTGGGACACGTCGGCGCACCACTCTCGCACTTTACACAGCCATTTTGTCTTTTAGCGAAAGATGACGGGACATCTTCGTCTGGACCTCAAGTGTTAGAGGTAGTAATCTAGAATGGAGTGAACTAAACTTACTTAGGGAGAACCCAACGAAGCCGGGAACGCCTGCCATTGCTACCTAGAAGAGAGCAACTCTAATGCTGATGAAGTAAAAGGGTGACTTGACGATTTAGACTTTTAAGGGACTCGGAATCGATGCCTCGATAGGGATCGACAATATGATGCTAGACGTTGAGGAGTTTGGCTTGGCGGTAAGATGTTCCTTACTGCAGATCGGTCTACCCGACTAAAGTGTCTTAATTGGCGATTAATAGATATCTAAGCGCAACGTCTTCGTTATTTTTTTCGCCTCGATGGTTATGAAGTGAGATTGGACGACACGGAAGCGTCAAGCGTCGGTCGTGTTTGTCGTGATGTCTAATTGACTGGGTTTTGGTGGAAGAAGGGGGAGGCGCGGGAATGTTGGCGTTACAGGGCGATGATTTAATTGATGGGAAGATAAACGAGTGACAGAGAGACTAGCTCAAAGAAATGAATTCGAATAATTGCAACCTAGGTTGCCATAGAAAAGAACATTTAACTAAGTCCACTGTAGTATCGATTGCAGCTTGTGCGAGCGATATTTTTTTTTGTTTGAATTTGCAGCGTGGTTAGAGTATGACAGGAGAGATGAATTGGCAAAAAAAAGAGAATTAATTGAATGAGGATGGATCCCGCACAGAGTGGGCAGAGGGGGGGCGCTTGGGAAGGCCTGGAAGGTGGGAGACTGGGAGAGTGCGAACTACGAACTGCGAACTACAAGAGGGGATGGGGCCGATGGGCAGATGGGAAAGCATAGCGGACAGGGTTAGTTCGGCTTCATTAATTGAGGGATAGGCCTGGTAGTCCTGGTAGTCCTGGGCGAAACACACCATAAGGAACAAGAATAATGGACCGATTTAAAGGGTACGTACTACTTTCTCAGCGAGGGAGCGTTGTACAAAATAACAAAATTGCCAAATTAGGCGAAACAAACTGGTCTGGCAGGGACCAACAACGCCTTTTCATTGGACGGCTAGTCGCTACTAAATAATCCTCCAGGACTCTAGATATTTTGTACCTTCTGATCCAGGAACAGCTCAAAACATAATTGAAAATAAGCATGTGTCAAAAAGGAGAGAACAAAGACGATATGATCAATTATTTTCGTATTTCGAATTTACTAAGCATTTCTACTCAAAGAGTCCCGAAATAGAAAATAAACCTCACATAGATAGAAAGAATCATCTTTGACGAGTTTGCGCACCATGTACACGAACGTGTACATATATTGTTATGTTGTAATTGGGTAGGGCTAGAACTCTTACCATAGATCTACGGACCCATGCGACGGGGTCGTTCAATGATTTTTACTTTTACTTTATTCTTATTTCAAATTTTTATACTTGTCTGCTCTGCCTGCACGTAAGGGCGTTACGTTATAGAGTATTTCGATGAAATGTGTAAATATCATGGTACTTCAAACCAAGTTTTTGGTGGCGTACGAAGCAATATTTTTTTAATTGATCCGGTCCCTCGCCTAGAATATCATCGAATTGGATGTTCGATCCCGAAGATGGAATTTTATCACCGACGTCTTGGGTCAGCAAGCAATCAATTAATCAATCTAATTAGGGCGAATCATTGCCCGCGTCCTCCAAGTGCCGTCTGGTATCGTCGTATTTCTGCCTCCCCGAGATTTGGGGGGGGGGTTGCCTTTCTTTATTTCCCGTGAACAATGGGAATTAAATATAGGTAAACGGCCCCTAGCTATTTTCTTTTCACATCTCCTAAGAAAGATCGCTTGACAATTAAACATAGCCTCTTAGAGAGGACAAAATTGTAAGAAATAGGATATATTAGATCATCCGTTTTTAAATCTTATAGGCAGGGAATTGTATAATAGACATTTTGTATAAAGATGAACAGTGCCGATTTCCGATTTGGCCCAAGTAAATGGGGGTTTAAGAGATTCAGAGCTCCAGTGTATTTGTCGAAATCCGCCCAAAACAACATGGCGATAAACATTGGAAATAGTAGCGGAACGCCGTAGACTTTGCCTATACAACAATTGCATCCGCATCCCAATAAAGGGGATAGATGAACTATAAACAAATCATACTTACAAGTAAACCAACAGCTGAGTGTACAATACATTAGCCTTGTTCAGCATGTTATTGTAGATAGTACAAGTGAAAGGTAAAGACATACAAGATACACACTAATGCGGTAGAATGGCCAAAAATCCTGATTTGTTAAGTTGGTGGCCCTAACACTGAGGCTGAATGCAAAATGGTCTAATACGCCTACACTATCTACCTAATATATATGTCTAATCCATCCCACATGAAACTCGAGGAGTTGTGTAGCTGACTTCATACATACAGTTTATGGGAGAAGTACATGTAGGTAGATCTAAAAGTAACGTTTGTAAGGCTGGATGCAATGCTTGTTAGTGACCATATATAGTAACTGTTGATTATTATGTACGGGATGGCTAGGGCTTGTATGTAAGGTTGTCGTTGCTCTCATCTATAGCATATAATAACCAAAGGAAAGACCTTAGCGAAGGTTAGCATGATACTAATGTGAGATATGTAGTAGAGGCAGATAAGATCGACATATGCGACGAGGAAGTTATTGTTACCGAATCGTGCACCGCCTCATTCTTCGTATCCACAGGGAAGGGGATTCACTCCATCCAATGAGGCTACGAAATCTCCACCAAGCTCTCCTATTTCTAGCTATTTTTAGCCCAGAGAGACCCTTATGTCTTGACATGAAATATAAACATGTACGTTTAACTTAACCGTGACCATTGTACATATGATGATTAAAGGTATTTAATAACTGTTTTTTAGGTTTACAGAATTAAGTCAAGGAATATATATCATATAATGATTCAATTTAGCAATGTCATTACTTATTAGATACATACCTAGGTACCTTACTAGGTGAATTAGGTACGTATTAGTAGTACACGTAGGGCATTGGGGAAAATATGGAGACTCAGTTTCAAGCTAACGGCAAGCTGAGGTTGCCAACGGACGTACCAGCCATCCCCTGAAAAAATTGCAATATACAAAATATTCACTTAACAGATTAGCTATAATTCGTATTCTTTAATAGAGACAAACTTGTAGTGCATAAGAGGTAGTATTTACCATATAACTACTAGAATATAACTGGAAAATACGAATGGACTATAATATTGATTAGTTACTTTAGATAGGCAACTATGATATTATCTAGAGAATTCGAAAAAGGCAGGACGACGAGTAATGTTGGTCAATAGCGATGCCCGCCTGCTGCTTATCCTATTCGTTATCCCTGTGCTGACCTGTATGTAGTACCTGGTAGTAGGCTATCGTGTGCATTGCGCCTTGTCATGTTGATGCTATTTGCTAGCTCGCATTTGTGGCTGATAGCCTGAAGGTTGGATCCATCTCAAAAAACCTGCAAGTTGAAGTCTTCCATTATTGCATGTACTTCTCTTTTTACTTCCCAAATCCTCCACCTGTCTTACTGACATTGTAACACTATAGGAAAAGAAACCAACATAGAATAACATTGACAAACATCTAGTAGACCATCATGATAATTAGATGCATATCATATCAAGTGACGTAGGTGACATATTTGTCTCTTAAGAAAGCAGGTGACGAATAAGTTTCGTGCCCGTTAAGTACCTACTAAAGTATCTGGCAGTTGGAAAACAGGTATGCGGGTTTCATCTCAACCAATTAAGATGCAGCTTGGCAACGGTACTAGTATACTAGCGCAGATAATATATAGAGCATGACAAAGGTAACTTACTTCACAGCCAGCTGCATAGCAGTAACGTAACGCCTGAGTCACTTGTAATTCGTGCTAAGCCACATCAGCCCTGGTAAAATAAGTGTGAATAGGTGCTATTAGGTCTGCAAAGCTTGCTGGTGGTGGGTACTACAAGAGGTACTACAAGAGGTACCTCAACTCTGTCTCTTTTCCTGCATGTCTCCTTTTATGTACTCCTGACGCAGATCCCATCCCAACCTGAAAAAAAAAAAATACGAAAGACCGCCCTTCCTTCATCTTTCCCCTTAGAACACCTACACATATTTTCACCCATCGCGAGACTTCCCCCTATGTCTTCGAGCACTGGGTGATTGATTCATCAAATCGCTCGATATCCTTCCTTCCTTTATTACTTATTCTTGTAATATTGGTCTCACCTGCAGACGGGCCGCTTTCACTTTAATATTTTATCGTGTGGGGGGAAACCTTGATTCTCGCGTGGCCCCTGGATCTTACATTGTTCGTCGCAGTGTTGAGGAATCAACACAAACACCAGCGTCAGAAAACAAATATTAAATAATATAAATTAAACGGGTTGCGACCTTGTTGTTTAAGACCGGCTGGTGTAGCCGATAGTCAAAATGGCTTACAACGGTGGTCACGCTGACGACTACGATGGGCACCGTCTTCAAGACATGCCTGCCGGCAGCACGGTAAAGTTTTAACCTTAACCATCGCTTTGGGTTTGTCCATCTGCAAGGTCACACAGCTAATTCGTACCTCGTCGCATACAGTATCATCTACTCCCCTTGAGCAAGACGATGATGAATCACAGCGTCATCTCCTAGGACAGACTCCTGGTCTTCATTACGAACAGGATCGGCTGGGTACCAATACTCCTCCTGCACGTCCAGTCTCGGCTTACAGTCTTACCGAGTCGTACGCTACAAATGCTCCTCCTCCTACACAGTCGCCAGCACCTCAATATCCCGGTGAGTTTGCAGGTGGCTACGGTGGGCATCAGCTTGAGGATACCGGCTTTGGATATGGCAGACCTGCATCTACTGTCGATAGCGACGAGGGATGGCTACGTCGCCAGCAACCAGGCGGTGCTGGCGGTGGTTTAAAGCGTTATGCTACTCGAAGGGTGAAGCTAGTTCAAGGATCCGTTCTCAGCGCCGATTATCCCGTACCCAGTGCTATCAAGAACGCTGTACAGGCTAAGTACCGGGATACTGAGAGCGGCAGCGGTGAGTTTCTCAATATGCGATACACTGCTGCTACCTGCGACCCGAACGATTTTACTCTGAAAAACGGTTACGATCTTCGGCCTCGAATGTATAACAGACACACAGAGCTTCTGATCGCTATTACTTACTACAACGAAGACAAGCAACTTTTTGCGCGAACACTTCACGGTGTTATGCAGAATGTCCGCGACATCGTCAACCTCAAGAAATCTACTTTCTGGAATAAGGGCGGCCCTGCCTGGCAAAAGATTGTAGTCTGTTTTGTTTTCGATGGTATCGAGAAAGCAGATAAGGAAACACTAGACGTCTTGGCCACCATCGGTGTCTTCCAGGATGGTGTCGTGAAAAAGGAGGTCAATGGCAAAGAGACTGTTGCTCATATCTTCGAGTACACTACTCAGCTGTCTGTTACGCCAAACCAGCAGCTCATTAGGCCAGTGGACGACAGCCCCCAGACCTTGCCCCCTGTCCAGATGATTTTCTGTCTAAAGCAGAAGAACACCAAGAAGATCAACTCTCATCGTTGGTTATTCAATGCGTTTGGCAGGATCTTGAACCCTGAAGTGTGTATTCTTCTTGATGCCGGTACCAAGCCGGGACCGAAATCGCTCCTTGCGCTTTGGGAAGGCTTCTACAACGACAAGGATCTTGGTGGAGCTTGTGGTGAAATCCACGCCATGTTAGGCAAAGGCGGCAAGAAGTTAATGAACCCTCTTGTCGCCGTCCAGAATTTCGAGTACAAGATCTCTAATATTCTGGACAAGCCTCTAGAAAGCTCTTTCGGCTACGTGTCTGTGTTGCCTGGTGCCTTCTCGGCATACCGATTCCGAGCTATCATGGGTCGACCTCTAGACCAATACTTCCATGGTGACCATACTCTTTCCAAGATTCTCGGACCCAAGGGTATCGAAGGCATGAACATCTTCAAGAAGAACATGTTCTTGGCCGAAGATCGTATCTTGTGTTTCGAGCTTGTCGCCAAAGCTGGGTCTAAGTGGCATCTGTCGTATATCAAAGCTGCCAAGGGTGAGACTGATGTTCCTGAGGGTGCTCCTGAATTCATCAGTCAGCGACGACGTTGGCTCAACGGTTCATTTGCCGCCTCGCTTTACTCGCTGATGCATTTCGGTCGTATGTACAAGAGTGGTCATAACATCGTCCGCATGTTCTTCTTGCATATTCAGCTTATTTACAACATCGCAAACGTATTGTTCACCTGGTTCAGTTTGGCATCGTATTACCTGACAACAACGGTTCTTATGGATTTGGTCGGAGCACACACGGAACCCGGTCCGACTTCTGCTGAGAAACACGGATGGCCTTTCGGTGACACTGCTACCCCTATTGTCAACATCATCCTCGAGTACCTGTACATTGCCTTCCTGATTCTTCAGTTCATCCTGGCGCTTGGTAACCGTCCTAAGGGTTCCAAGTGGTCATATATTGCGTCGTTTGGCTTGTTCGGATTTATTCAAATCTACGTCCTCATCTTATCTGGTTATCTTGTCGTAAACGCTTTTCAGCCGCAGAATCTGCCCCAGGGCGAAAGTGCTGGCGATGCTCTCAAGGATATGTTTACGGGCCAGTCTGAAGTGGCTATCATTATCCTGGCGTTACTTGCGACATTTGGTTTGTACTTCATTGCATCGTTTATGTACCTGGATCCGTGGCACATGTTCCACTCGTTCCCGCAGTACCTGGTTCTCATGTCGACATACATCAACATTTTGATGGTCTACGCTTTCAACAACTGGCACGATGTTTCATGGGGTACAAAGGGTTCAGATAAAGCCGAGGCCTTACCAAAGGCTCAGGTTGTAAAGGATGAAAAGGGTGAAGCTGCCATTGAAGAAATCGACAAGCCCCAGGAGGATATCGACAGCCAGTTTGAGCAGACAGTCAAGCGTGCTTTGGCTCCTTTCAAGCCGGAACCCGAGGATGACAGCAAGGATCTTGAGGATTCGTACAAGTCCTTCCGAACATCTCTAGTCGTTGCGTGGTTGTTCTCGAACTGCGCTCTTATTGTGGGTGTAACTAGTGACAAGCTGTCCACATTCGGTGTCGGGGTAAGTTTAAATTTTTATAGTTGAAATAGACGGCGAAGAGAAGAGTTTTATGGCTAACTGAATCACAGGGTACTACGTCAGACCGTACGGCACAGTTCTTCAAGTTCCTTCTTATCGCCACCGCAGCCATGTCCCTCGTCCGTTTCATCGGATGCTGCTGGTTCTTGGGCCGAACTGGAATTATGTGCTGCTTCTCTAGGCGGTAAAGTAGCCGAGACTCAGAGCGTAATTAGGTCTTTTGAGATTTATACGCCTACGATATGTACAAATGTAGCCTATCTCCAGGACCTGGCGTCAAACACTGTTTCTATGCTGGATAGACGGGCGATATGACTCGGTTTGCAAGATAGGGTATAGGGGGGATTCAGAAAAGTTGCGGCTACGCCATTGGACCGTTAACCGTTTGTCATTGTTTAGGCGTTATTGACATTCTCCTTTTATATACACCTAATGTCTCTAAGCTGAATAGTTAGGTCAGTTGCTTACGAACAATTCTAGCAAATCGATGAGTATTTATGGCATTCATGAGATGATTTTAAGTTTGATTAATTATATGATTTCAAGTATGAGTACCTCGTGTATTATTGTTTTTATCCTTGAGAATATCGAGTCTATGCCATAGCATGTATGAATATGTTGGTTAGGTTAGGTACCTAACCTAACCTACCATCTACGTATACTTAAAGTACCTCCTCACAAAGGGGGTATTTAAGTGAGCTACCCCACTATACCGCGTAAAATTGTACCTATAGCTTGAAACCCACCATTGAAAATAACGACTTCTCCCCGCGTTGAAATAAATAGTTTAATCTTCCGTTTAGATTTCATGTCGAAATCTTTTACGGTATCGAAGAGTCTCAAAGAACCCCAAGTTGACTTCCTAAGATTAAACCACGACCGCCAAATAAATTAAGACTACACCCTCCCTTCAAGCTATCATGGAGTCTTTAGAGACTATTCAAGCTCGGCATCGTAAAGAACAGCGCGAACTGCAAGCGCGAATCACGAACAAGAAGAAGAATGCGACAAAAAAGACGCGAAAGGGTGTCAACGATGAATGTGCCGAGCTTGAGAGGGAATTAAAAAGGAAACAGGAACAAGAGATTGCTGCAATAAACGGAGATGGAGACAACGAGGGACGTGCAATGGGCGAAATAGAGGAACAAGAACAGCAAGAAGCTTTACAAGACCAAAATCCCAACGGAGACACGACGAATGAAATAACAGAGCAATTAAAAGACACAACCATCTCTCCGTTACCAGGTCTGACCCCGCGACACAACAACAGCAACCCAAGAAGCGGAACCGCCAAAAGGAGCGAATGGCGCGGAGGGCAGCAGAACAAGAAGCAGCTACCATAGCCGCCGAACAAGAGGCAGCCAACATGACAGACCACCGAAAAATCGAGAAGACATACCTGCTCAAAGAATTCAAGGCTAACAACCTAGTCGAGAAAGAGATACAGCCAGACGGGCACTGTCTATTCTCCGCCATAGCAGACCAACTACAAACACGAGACATACCGCTCGGTCCGGACACAGAGATAAAAGGCAAGCCGGCATACAGAGTAGTACGGCAGGCAGCAACAAACTATATGGAAGCGCACGCGGACGACTTCGCGCCGTTCTTGGAAGAGCCGCTGGACACGTACGTGCCGAAGATCCGGGACACGGCGGAGTGGGGGGGCCAACTCGAGTTGTCAGCATTGGCGAACGCGTATGCGTCGAGATTAAGGTGCTGCAGGACGGGCGGACGGAGACCATCGAGCCGAGCACGGATAGGGGAGGTGCAGGTGCGGAGAGGCAGAGGTTATGGCTGGCGTATTATCGCCATGGGTACGGGCTTGGAGAGCATTATAATTCGCTGCGGAGGGTGGATTAGAATATCAGAGAAGAAATGAAAAGAAAATATAGAAAAAATAATAAAATATAAGAGGACTTAAAACTCTGTAGAGACTACCTACTTTCTTGTGGTACGTGGCTATCATTGATATAAGTCTCTTCGGAGTAGCTACGGTATACATCTACCTCAGCATGATCAAGAATTAATTCGTGTTAAAGTACGTAGGCCGCACGATATATATCCTTTTGGTATCTACCTACGTAGGACCACTAAGGATATATACTAGGGGAGATTCTTAATATTTATACACTGTGAAATATAGAGTCTGTTTTCTCCTCAAATACACGCCTCCGCGGAGAATGAAATGTCTTCCATTGAAAATTTCCTAGTAACAGCTTGAACTTAGAGAGCCTCTCGTCGTCGTGAACTAACCAAAGTACGATAGCTGATATCGCCCAGGTGGCCAGCGCTATCAGGACTGTGGAAATTAGGAACGAAGATTGCCCTAGTCCAGCATCGTCGTAGGCGAATATGTCCATGCTAAATAAAGACTAGGGATGACATAATTAGATAGGAAGTTCTTTAACGTAGGAGGTGATGGGTAACATACGGAAACGTAGCTTAGGGGAAGGTAGAAGATGGTGACGATTGTGAATACTAGAATATACTGGTTCAAGATCGTTGCTCGTGATGCCTCGCGCACTGATGTGGCACTGAAGAGCTGGACACATAATCTTATTAGCAAACTCTAAGATATATCTCGACCTTAAACGTATACTTACGCCGTCTCTAAAACTTTTGATCTCTTCTTCTTTCTTTTCTATACGATCTATGAGGGACTTTGAAGAGGTACCGTGGATTGATATAACCTTCTCCCATGCCTCGTCGATTTCTTTCATGAAAGAGTTTGGGGATTCGCCGCCGTGGCTTGAACTGATAGAGCTGCGGCGAGTTCCGCTAGATTGGATATTCCCATCAAAGTCCAGCTTGAGCTGTTGGAGCTCTCGACCACTCTCCTGGATCCATTCGGAAAATATCCTCAGCGCCTGGAGAACTGTGAAGTAAAGTCTAGATCTCTCGAATGTGCTATCGAACATCATGGTAGCGCCGTCGCGCGTCGGGTCGAATAACTCGTCGATCTGAATATGTCAGCAAGGCTTTAAAAGAGAAATATTTAATATGCTATTACCTCTACGCCAACTAACTTATCAATCTCATTCAGTGTCTCAACCCACTTACGCTTCCATATAGGGAAGATGAAAAGTAGAACTTTAAGATATACGGCAATTCCTGTAAATCTTCCTTGACTGGGCATGTCCAGCGGTTGTTCGCTTTCCATGAAGAGGCGCCGGTACTCGGAGTCGCTAAGGTAGAAGATGGTATATGGTGGCATATCTGCCGTGTGAGAAGTCACTATCGCAAGAGAAAACCTCTCCTCGACGATTCCGATGTTCCCTGCACCGTCTAGTGAAGCAAGCACGCCAGAGACGCGGGAGGGACGAAGTCCATTTTTTGGCCAAGGTTTATTGATACTGGGTAAATATTTCTTCCCCGCCGATAGAACCCGGAGGTGGAAATGAATATGAATCCAGCTAGATGATAGCCAGACTTCGCTAGTTTGCATGAACCGCGGCCAGTTGGACGTGTGACGGCTCAAGAAGAGTAATGCTTTCTTGGTTCCTAGTATCCCTTGCCTAGTGTCACCACCAACACTCATCTGAGATAGAGCGAGATATATGCAAGCAAAGCTAAGGAGTCGTCGGGTGTGGAACACTTGCCTTGATTTGACAAGTTAGACGTGGCTATTCGTCTGATATCGAAGCGGGTGACTTACCATATTCGCCCGAAAACTTTTCCATCCCAAGGACAAGATCGATCAACATGCAACCTATCATCGTCAGGCTAGTATTCCTGTCAGCTGTACGGGTCTTGCAGGGTTATGGGTCAAGGTCACCTGGAGTTGACGCAGAAGCGAGCGTTTCCCGCTCAGCCAGGGTTCTCGAGAAAAATGAGCGCCATAGGAATCGTAACCTGACTGGTATAACAAAGCCTTCGTGAAGCCCGGGCAATTTAAGAAGATAATAGAATCTGCAAACTCGTCTGTTTCGAACGGTACCCCGACTTCATCTAAGTTCCGTATCGACCCCCTTGATATAACCAATGTTTTTTAATCAGGGAGGTAACTCGGGCGAGCTTCAAAGCGAGAAGCGGTTCTCTGGTCTGGTCAATGTGCTTCCATGGCACTTCTATCACCTGTGCGTCCTCACTAGGATCTTGAATTACCAAGGTGGTTTCACCACAACCTTCTTGCTCCCAACCGTGTGCATGAATTAGTTCGATTGGATCATATGATCCAGACAGAACATGTGGAAGATTGTATCTTGCTAAGAACATATCACATAACCGGACCGAGTCTGGATGCAACGTATTCTGAACATACTTCTGCAGAGATGAAGGGTTGAATTTGATAGAGCTTGGCCGGGAATGGCTGGTATTGACATGAGAGAATGGGAACGTTAAGCTTCCTTGATTATCATGCGTTCTATAAAGTAAAGTTAGAAGTCGATCCTGGTTTATTGCCATCTCTGAAAGTCGCTTAAGAATGCTTTCAAGGTGGTGACCTCCGACCTCTTCCTCAGGTGATATACATTGTGAATAAAAAAGGTCCTTGTTTGATGATTGGTCAAATGAGACTGGCCGTTTCCTATTAAGATTTATATAACGTTTGTATAGCCTGGAAGACCGACGAGTGTAATTCCCTACTCGAGAGCGGTTCCGCTCTGCAGTAGATGTTGAAAGAGAACGGTGTACTGCTTGGGCGGGCGATTTGTTATTCACAAGGCTCTGAAAGCTGCTTTGACTAGCAAGGGTAGGTTGAGTAGATAGTGAGGTTTCTAAGTCTTCCCTTATAATATCATCCGCGTTGTTCGGGGCAATTGACTTATCCATAGCTGAGTTATTAATATTAATATTTTTAATATCGGTTTATAAGAGATGAAATTGTGTCAAATTGATAAAAGAGAATTGCGTTTATAAACATGTCCTACATTATGTCCTGCTTCACTTTTACCAAGAGCTATTCACTTCGATTCGTGGATGCATCTGCGCCTCATTCAACACGGAGCTGGTTGGATTGTCCAGTCAGACTCATCCTTAGCCGCCATCAGGGGCACTGCAGTCTGCAGAACATTTCCAAGGTTGCATTTGGGTCGACGTAATAAGTAATTGATCCTCGCGGTCATGATATACATATGATACCCTACATAGGGTGTTAATGGTGAAGTAGGTAAAGTAGGTAAAATAGGTGAAGTAGGTGATAGCGCCACAAGCTTAAGAGGTACCATAACCTTGATAGGATAAAATGTGCACTGCCACATCTCTTCTCATTTGCCGAGGCGGGCCGCACCGGGGTTAATGGGGTTAATAGGTAACTGTTATCGGGGAACTAGACTTTTGATCTAATCTCACTCCAGATTCTATGATAGTATGATCAATCGATGCTACTAATGCTGCAAATTTGTATTTCTAATCCATTTGCGGCTTCGGTCGGCATCTGATTCTTATTAATCATTCTAGAGCCTAGAACCCCCCACAAAGGAGTAGGCAAACTAGGGAGAAAGAAAAAGAAGAAGAGAGGGAAAAGGAAAAAAAAAAAAAAAACTAAAAAAAACTTAAGTTCATAATAATAATATGATGGAACTAAAACACTTAAATATATCTCATCAGTTTGGTACCAATCTGACTTCGCTTCTTTTAACACTCCCACGTCTCTTACAATTTTTTACGCATTAAGAAACAAGGGATTGCCGCTAAGAACTCTAGATCTAGAGAAAATCTATCAGTCGGACCAGTGGTATGATCTAGGAATTGCGTGCTTCCATGCGCAGTTGACAACACCGTACCACCCACCAGTTTGCATCCATATTCCTATTCGTGATTATGGCTTCGAAAGCCTGACTCTAATTCGTGGGGGTTACAATCTAAAGGAAAAGAGGCGTATTTTATGACAGCACTGTAAGAGCCGGCTGTCGACGCCGCTCAAAAGCCTGTCTCCTTTCACGATACGGCCAGTCCGTAATACGGATAGGGTAGGCGATACAACTAGAGCCTTATGGTAGAGCAAATTTGGAAGTTAAAGATTAAATACTGACGGCCCTCGGAGTTGTTAGTTGATTATCCACTCCTATTAAATATCTTTACCTTAAAAGCCTATTCTCCTCCCCAAGCAGAGGTCATCACTTAGCATCTCGTCGAGAAATACACCGACGTGCCTATCCGAGCTCTGGAACTTACCAAAAGGAATATTCATTTTATTTCATCAGGCCATATAGCTGTGAATTTTTAACAGCAAATATGGGTTTACTGTACGTGTTTCCTCGATCCGTGAATACACGGAGACCGACCTAGTGATGAGGTCATTAACATCGATTTATAGAGCTTTAGGAACGGCTCTTGATTGGCCGGATGCACAGCAGCATGCACACCAGGTCAGGGAATGGGGCATCAAGGTAGTTCCTTATAACCTTATCCCCTGCTACTATTCTGAAAAATGGCTGACCTATCGTAGCAACTCCTAGAGATTTGGAATAAGGCTAAGCATAAGGAACGAGATGCTATGTTGTGGGGTGATGAGGTACCGCTTGCACCATATTGCGCCACTAAGGAGGTAACCCTGTTAACGGCTCCTTAGATAGAGTACTTGGTCGTGAAATACTCCAAGGATGATCCTAAAGTTCTCCTTTCGCTTCGGCAAGCCGATATTCTCAAAGCCTTGGCGGCCGATGAAGAACCTCCGATAAAGGCGGATGCGTCCCGGCACTACAGGAGCTCGAGTCGCAGAGATCGAATCCGTTACCAGTGTTCCACCCTGAATTTGGTAGATTCATGCTTGAGGCTACTCCAGGTAAACCATGGGGCATCGGATTCAAGGAACTTTTGGGCGTCGAGCCTGATATGAAAAACAGGTATCTTCATCTTGTACTTTGCGCATCGCGTCCTTTCTCTAAACTAACTAGATCCTAGGAGGAAGATAGCCAAGGAACACATGCACGCTGAAGAGTATCCCATTACACTCACAACATTCCCTCGCCTAGGTGTTCCGGGCGTCTTTACGGATCCTTACTACCCACCATCCGGGTCAAAACTTCGGTCGCAGTTCGTGCCGGACGAGATTGCCAATCCGCATATTCGGTTTCCAACACTAGCGGCGAATATCCGCTGGAGGCGCGGGCGGAAGGTTCAGGTGAATGTTCCGGTATTCCACGATCAAAAGACGCCAGTTCCTTGGAAGGATCCTACGGTGAACTATGATCTGCACAACTGGCCAGAGGACGACGATGTGAGAAATGGAGCAGCCCCGGATAATTTCATCCACATGGACGCTATGGCATTTGGAATGGGAAGCTGCTGCTTACAGATTACGTTCCAGGCGAAGAACATCATCGAGGGTAGAAGGATGTATGACCAGCTGAGTCCAATTGGCCCCATCATGTTGGCTTTAACGGCAGCGACCCCTATTTATAAGGGGTTCCTAGCCGATACCGATGTTCGCTGGAACCAAATCAGTCGAGCCGTAGATGATCGAACCCCTGAAGAATTAGGAGAAAAGGTTAGTTCATATACAACAACTCGACCGGCTCTAAGTAACTAATTTCTGTTAAGCCCCTGAAAACCAGCCGATGGCGCATACCCAAATCGCGTTACGCATCTAACTCCACGTATATAAGCACCGATGAGCGCCTTCGACAGGAGTACTTCGATCCTAACCTTGTTATCGATGAAGATATTAAGGCAGAGCTCCTCGAAGGTGGTATGGACGATCGTCTTGCGACACATTTTGCGCACCTGTTTATCCGGGATCCTATCGTAATCTTCAGTGAAGATCTAAAGGAACTTGACTTGACAAAGGCCGATCATTTCGAGAACATCCAGAGTACCAACTGGCAACATATGCGGTTCAAGCCACCGCCACCAGGCTCTGATATCGGCTGGCGAGTTGAGTTTCGCCCAATGGAGATCCAGATCACGGACTTCGAGAACGCGGCTTTTGCCGTCTTCATGGTTCTAATAACACGAGCGATCCTAAGCTTCGACTTGAACTTCTATATCCCAATCGTCAAGGTAGACGAGAACATGGAGACCGCGCATGCTAGAGACGCTGTCCTGGAGAAGAAATTCTATTTCCGGAAGAACCCATTCCCGAACAGACCGGTGCGCAGCAGCGCTACGTCCCGCTCGGGCTCGCCCACGGCTAGCCGACCTCCCACACCCTTCGGGCCTGTCGAAGATGAGTATACGCTCATGACGGTCGACGAGATCATCAATGGTTCACAATCGGACGAGCACAGCTTCCCGGGTCTTATTCCTATTGTCGAGAGCTACCTTGACTCCGTGAATGTGGACGTACAGACGCGGTGCGAGCTCTCAACGTATCTCGACCTTATTCGTATGCGCGCCAGCGGTGAGCTCTGGACGGCAGCGAAGTGGATCCGACACTTCGTGGACAAGCACCCCGGGTACAACCACGACAGTGCCGTGACAGACGAGGTCAACAAGAGCCTCGTAAGCGCCGTTATAGACATCGGCGATAGGGAGCAGCAAGGTATGGGCTGGAAAGGCCTCCCAATCCCTGACGTAGAGCACCTACTCGGGCGGTTCAGAAGCAGTGGATGTGGAGGTTCATAGGCCGAGAGCCGGTCGGGTCAAATAAGAGGTTCAGACTCTATCTATGCCAGGATGGCATGATATGAACCAGTAGCATGTTGAGGTCGTTAAACAGAACGACTATACATGCTTATTTGATCGCTACGGCGTTATGTTGCCGAGGTGCATATACGATGGATTTATTCGTTGGCGATTATTTTGCCCGTAGATTTCCCCTAGGTATATCCTATACCGAGCATAGACAGCGACTGATTTTAGATTCATCTTGAACAATTTGATGTATTGCGGCTTTCTCGCCAATGGAATAGTCTAGTTACCATTCAAGTGACATCGGCTACGTCTATATACTACTTGCGCTCTAGTGACCTAGGTATAGCTCAACATAGTAGCGGGAAGAAAATTCACGTTCTAAGGTTGGAGGCTTACCTACCTACCTAAGGTACCTAGCAGTGTTGCTACAGCAGCAGTTCTCTTGTGATCATAGATATAATATTTTGAGGCACGTTCAGCTACCTTTCGATGGGATCGGCAGGACGCAATGGTTTCCATGCTGTGTCCTCACCAAGATGACTACGAGGTATATATCACGCTACTTCTAGAAAGCCATGGTAGAGACTGGTAGCGAATCCGCGCAACCAATTCCCTAGGGCTTTCGGGGTCGATACAGTTAATTCTGGGAATATGGCGGCAACTACCAAGTCTTCTAGGGCCCGACCTGAAGTATCTCACTAGCTAGTTCCCTAGGCCGTCGCCGAAGACGTCGTATGCATTGCTAGGTAGCGGTGTTTTGTAGGGTAGGGTCAAGTGGAAGTATCCGGGCTACCTACTCCGGTTCTAGTTCACTCACAGTCACAGAATGTCGTTGAGATATATTGATATATGCGAATACTGGCTAAGTCTATCCTAGATGAGATAGTAGACATACAGTTGCTTTTTAGATTAACCTTCGAGCGCGAGACGCTACTGTTATTCGGCGAACACGTTTCTTACTGAAGTGAGCTGATCGGTCAGGACTCCATGTGTCTTAATGACGGGTACTAGGAAGGGTCTATAGTATAAGGAGATATCAAGTGAGAGTACAATCTGCTAGTCTCTAGCATAAGGTGCAGTAAAGGCGCAATAATAGTTTTCTTGACTCGTGCCCCCTTCTAAGGATAGGGATAGGGATAGGGATGGGAATAGGGGTAATCCGATGTTAAAAGGTGATTGCTTGAACGTGCTATTAGCTAGGAGTGATCTGTCCCCCTTTACCACTCTCGGACAGTTATAATTGAAATTTACTTTTAGCTATATATTCTAGTGCCTAGTCTCCTATCGACTATCTTTTAGCCCTCGAATGGTCGGTCCTCAGAAGCCAACGGGATGGAATTAAATTTACCTGATTTCAAGCCTAGGGCTTCCTATAATAGATACCTTAAGGCAAATGGTTCAACTGGCCTTGTTACCTGGATAAGCCTTCTATATAGGAACAATTACTGCTATGCTTTAAAGCCCCTAGTCTATACTCCCTAGTGTCTGTATATAAGGGTGGTAGTCAAGATAATACCTCTTTGGATCGGCGATAGACAGGTATATAACTAATATCTTAACATTAGCAAGTGCATGGTGAGATACTACGTCTATTTTATGCACCGAAGAATGGACATGCATGGCTAGAATACATATAAGCTCCGGCCAAGTATATGAAAAGCGATGGATCAATGAATATTCGTAGTTAAGCATATCTCTACTTTAACGGTGGCCCTCATGCCAGTCTTGGAAGTAGGAGTTACCTATTGCATGCCTAGGTAGGTACTCAGGTAGGTTACTCTCTGCTGTCGATTCAGCATTACATTTCTAGTTATCTTCCTATTGATCAAGCCAGAGAGCGATACAGTGCTTTACCGAGGCCTAGGGATGTGAGAACATGCAGATGAAGCATGAGCTTGCGACTCTAGTAGACCAACATCGCACATCCTTTCGACCGGCTTAGGTATCTTTCACTCCAAGATAATAAGCGGTCAACCGGGAATTACGACTACCCGAGCGGCAAATGCAGCCTGCTTCAATTACAGTATATTGTATATAGTTTCATGCAGTCGGCGAGCTTGAAGTCAGATTTCAATATCATCTCGGATCGCCTCCGAAGTATCTGCCACAGTACCCCCCTTAGTACAGCTGTGTGGCGGGCATGCCTTAAGTCCGAGCATCATCAGCGTCGCCGGGCCCGGACCGCCGAGCCGTCTGCAAGGCCATCTTGGTTCCCTACATCGAGTCGAATTTAGGCTCCATTTTGGACAACCGGTAAGGGGGCAATTCCCGATCTCTGCAAGACGGTGCCCGAAAACTGCAGCTCTCATTTCCATTCTGGGAGACGTTTAGTCGTCGAGAGGCTTTGCGCTCTATCAAGCAAAGCAGGTGGCGGCTTACATCTTGTTTCAGGAGGGCGGTTCCCTGCGTGGAAGTTTAACTGGGCCGTGTGTGTCTTGTCTTTGATCACGTATGACTTAATGCTTGTGACACGGCCGGGCCGGACCGCAAAGAGACGAATAGAATAAAACATGTTTCTGCTTTTGATAATTCTTACTGCTGTCTAGCTCCCCGCCTCATGAGCCGTTAGGTCTAGGTCTCGGTCTCGTAATGAGAGACATGTCTAGGTTAGTCAAGGAAGCTGTTTCGGTTAGGAACGGATCAGATCTCGTACAAGATCTTGCAGGACGCGAGTAACGTTCGGTGTTCCCTGGCGGGACGAAATAACGTGTAAAGATCCTGAAGATCATTCCTTCGTGAGTACAGTATGCATATCCCAGGTGTGACTGTTTCGTCATACGACTAACTTGGGTGATATGGCGAGATACAGAGTATGCACGTTAAGGATTAGTATCAAATAGAATAAACATAAACTATTTATTCTCTCTGGCGTTTTACTACTTAATTTATTTTCCATACATACCCCTAGTTAGATATAACATCACGAATCTATCAACTATAGCAATATAGAAGAGGGGTTATATAACGCGAGGCTACCTAATCAACTTGTTAACGATTCGCGGCTATTGATGAGTAACATAATTTACTCTAGACCCGTCTTATTTTCATGCGCAAACACGCTGGGCATATGTCGTGAATCCGTAATATTCAACTCAATGCCTTATGCTGCAACAGGATCATGTTACTGGCGTAAGTAATACAGGTTTCACCCTTCCGTCAAGGTCCTAAGATCAATGAGACATCAAGGAAAACCTCAGCCCATACGCCTAGATACAAGTTCGTATTGACAGATACCACCCAACGACGCATGCGTATACGATTCACAATGGGATTGACTCGTATCACCGGCTACCGACTTTGTCACGACTATTAATCCCTTGACCTTGAAGAGCCCCACTACACATCTTCCTCTCTTGGGGCTTGTTTGGTGACTTTTAGTGTTGAGTTGGATCTCAAACTCAAATGCGATCACCCGATATTGAGTCTGCTAGTGACCGTACCTAAGGTTCGACAGGAAAGTGGGCATCGTTGTTTTATGAAAGGGTACCTAACTACCTCCTATGTAAGTCGAACTATACTCGGATCGAAAGTATCATGTTTGAAAACACTCACCTACTTTTTCCAAAATATACCCCTGAGGGGATTTAAGTGGGTCTCAAGCAACTACCCAAGGTACCTGGGTATGTAAATTTTCATTCGCCCAGCCCCCGTTCGGAATAGTATTTCTAGTTCTGGGCAAAGACCATCGTGATTGATTTTAGTGCGTAGCCATCCAATAGGGAAGAATCGAAATTGGATCCTGAAATCGGCCATCTTGAAATTCCTAAGGGAGATTGATAATAGGTACCCAATTATAATCTAGTACTCGATTGTACAAGTGCCGGGCATGAATACGAAATGGTAAGGTTCTTTGCAGTAGCGTTACCAGCCTGTCAAAATATGGCGCGGCGCTAGGCAGTGACAGTAATTCTCATTACTCGCGGCGGTTACGAGGTGGATCTGGCTTCTCTTGGCGGAGTCAATATCTGACAACGCAGAGATCATACTAGAATAACTAGTACAAATAAGGCACACGGCCGTCGACATCGGGTAGGCTTGGTAGGTAGGCTTGGTAGACTTGGTAGGCTATTTACCTGGGTACATGGTTGTAAATAAGCATTCCGGAGATATGTCCGCCACATCATCCGGCATAGCGGGCGGAACATACGGAAGGATGAAAAGGAGCCACCGGCGTGCAACTACGGAACATCGGATTGAAAACTAGTAGCGGGTTGCATCTTAGATAAATGTAAACATGCGGCGCAGTGCAGAGAATATTCTGTCCATTGTCCATAGTTTTATTATCCATTGATCTTATACTCCCAACCGGCAAGTCCGGAGTAGAAAAGCCGTGGACGTCATTGGCAAGATGAAAGATGATGGTTAAGGAAGAGAAATTCGGGATAGGCTTTTTTTTTTTTTTTTTAGTGGGTAGGATTGGTAAGATTAGGTAGATCATGGGAACATCGATATGTTAGGTACCTATATACTTAGATTAGGTACCTAGTGTACATATTATGGGACGGATCTTAGATTGGTTCAAATTGTATCGGATTGTATGGAATTGTATTGGTAGATTGAGTTGGAGAAAAACCCAAGAATGGGGGGAAAAGGGGATGTTGTATCGTGTACCGATACTTATCTCCTACCTTAGGAAGTACCTAACAATGCAAGATGGAAAGTGGGGTTGATCTGGGATCTGGAAAGGATCTCGATTGGCAGAAATGGATGACTTGCTAAGCCACGTGGTGGCAAAGTACAGGTACTTGGCCATTAGGTACCGTTAAAGGTATTATAAGTGTAGAGTTCCATATCTATTATACCGAATGTTCCATAATATACCTTCCATATTTACCTATCTTTAGGTACTATACCATATATACCTATATCTATACCTATATCTATATCTAGCTAAGGTATAATCCTATTCAACTAAGCCCCAACATGCATACATCTAACGAGTAACAAAGACGCAGCCCTAAAGTCATGTTTTGTGACTCGCATATCTACCATAAGAAACCCAAAGATGGTTATAAACAAACATATAGTTTTAAATATTAGCATATAAGTAACTCCTCTTGCATCAGCCAAGAAAGAGATAAAGGAAGCTCGAAGCGAGCCGAATAGTACGTGTACGCCATACCCATCACAATAAATTTGTCTTGTCACCTATATTAATATTCGGGGCGTATAAGCCAGGTAATCGGTTGGTTGAAACTTGACAGCAACATCTACCTAAGTAGCTGCGTGTGTCTCTTTTTAGTTCGGCTCCCTAAAGTTAGCTCAAAGCACCCCCGTTCGTGTCATGTTCGATATAGGATAAGATCGTCGCCAATTGATCTAGGAGTAAGTCAAGGATCGAGCCATGTCTTAGATTTGTACGAGGTGGGATGTGTAAAAAAGAGGGACTTATAAGAGACAAGGTAATATAAGCACGTCTAGGCATTCTGAAAGAGATATCATGCAGAAAGATAGTTGGGAAAGGAATAAGTGTATGGGATAGGGGGCATAACAAGAGGGCTAGGCAGGCAGGCAGGTGGAAGCAAAACATTTGGCTTCGTATCGTAGATTCTTTGTAACCGCCAAGTAATTAAATAAAATACATGGTAGATACTGAAAGGAACGGTGATGAATTATGCATAGTTGACTACTGAATCTAATCTCAAGACAGATACTGACATCTGATATCTAACATCCCGTAAGTCATGATCTAAACTTAAACCTTCCCCACGAAGCATCTGTCCAAAAGACGAGATAAGCTTACTACGACTACCTTAAAACATGGGACGAATCTTACGCGTGTCAAACTATCCTTGAAGAAAAACAACAAGGTTGAGTTTCAGGCCGGACCGAGTCCTGACAGAACCCTAACTCTGTTATCCAACCGGGAAAGACAGATCTAAGACCGAAATAGCTTGACAGTGTAGAATAACGTCGAGATAAGAATAGGCACGTGAAGCCGCCAACTTCGGCGACCTAATTCTAACTATTGTATACCTATAGGAGATCGTAACGAGCCACGTAACGCTGATTCATTCAAATCTAGGAACTATTCGGCTCTTGGTTTATTCTATTAGGTACCTCTTACACATCCTATTCCAACTAAGAGAGAACATATACCATATACCTAAGTAGTTAGTTAGGTACAGTAGAAGGTGTGTGATTTGGGAAAGGGGGGGGGGGAATACCGATTGCAGCTCCTGGCCGATCTTGATATGTAACCCCTGCGGCGACAGATGCACAAAGCAATCCGTGCCAACGCCTCTTGTACGCCTCTACAAAGCTATGTACTATGTAGAGCGACCAGACCAGTCCCGACGTTACATCAGACCTATTTTGAGATGGATGACAAAAAGTGCGGCTTAACGCACGGGGAGAAAATATTGGAGGGTGTGGCATGCGACCTGCCGCCCACCGGCAAGAAAGGGTGGGTGAGTTATGTACTTCGTAGCTTAGTGGACTGTACCCGTCCAGTACCCGTCCTGTACTTTCGTTCCTGTTCCTTAGAAACAACGCGTCATGACGGGGGCAGAGTGGAATAGAACATGATGGTTCTCGGCGTGAGAGTCGACGAAACATCATCTCTTCATTCCGGCCACACCCCCCCCCCCTTCTCCCCCCTTTTTTATTTTACCTTTAGAGGCTACGATCCTCCATCGGGATGTTTGACAGACAAGATCTAGTTTGGGGGGACTGTGCAGATCCCGCCTGGCCTGCATCGCGGCGAACCTGATTTCATGCAGCCCCCTCTCTAGCGCATCCGGGGAACACATGTGGAACGGGTAGGTACCTAGCGTAGGGAGGGACGATGATGACCTGTCACCTCCGTCTACTATCTACTGATTGTTGGCCAAGCCTCTATTGCTCTCTCGCGCGTCTCCGTAGAGTCCTATTCCGTCTTCGCGCATTCAATGCATTAGAAGCGAAGCAGGACGGAATGCAATCACCCTTACGTACATACATATATATATATATCTTATATATTTACTTACCTACATATATATAGCTGTATAATATGCTATGGCATGCCAACCACCCGCAAGACCAAATAAGCAAAGGGGAAGAGGGGGGAAGTTAGGCATATTGCGTCGAAGCGATGACGTGCAGAGGACGACAGCGTCTCGTTGCAGCCACGTAGGGGAACGGTCGAGCATCCGGTAGTATTATATATATGAGCCTCAGGCTCCACAACCTTAGCTGGCGTAGGAATCACAGCTGAGCAACTGCGAGCCAAGACTATTTCTTCGCTAGTGCTATAGTCTCGTTTTCCTGCCGTGACGCCAGTAGTAGTGGGTTCGTGAATGACCTTAGCTCGACGGGCGAATGGGCTTCTCTCACGTTTTCGTCCCGATCCTGTAGGTAGGCTTGCGACACGGTAGCCCCATGAGAAGGCTTGACGGCCTTTTTTAGTTTTCCTTGGCTAGACTACGCGGTCGTGCCCATATATGAGGGTCCGTTGTGGAAAATCGTTAGGTGGTGAATTGAATACGTAGGATAGAGTTGCAGTGAAGTAGATCTGCCTCGATGGAATATGATCTCGCGTTGATTCACAAGATCCTTGCCTGTTCATTTTTACCTTATATACCTATATATATATATATATATATATATATACCCACCTAAGGTAAGGTAGGTATGTATATAATAGCCGTGTATATTTTTATGCGGGTATGATCATGCCAACCGCACGCGTAGACGCATAGCCAGTAGGTAAAAGGACCCTTAGGTCTCAGATCCATGTCTCACAAACCTACCTACCTAACCTATCAGGTAGTTTCTAATTCGGAATTACCCTAGTGTTAGGAGCTTTGCACTTAAGATAATAGGGTACCTAAGGCAAAGCCACCGGGGTTTCTATCTACTAGAAGCCAGCTATGAATTCTCATTTTGTCCGGTCCTGTAGTTAAGCTCTCTGGTTTAGAGGTATACCGACATACGCATGTACATAGCGACATCGGTTTAACGGTTCGAAGCGCATGTCATCAATCTGACAGGTCATGTCGCACGGCATCTGTGAAAAGGTCCCCTTCCCGCCGTATGGGTACTTAGTAGCTGCAATCGCTTAGAGCGCCTCATCCAGATACATCCTTTTACTTCGTACTATATTATCTACTAAGTACGTACCTCTACACATAACAAGTATTTATGTACCTTAAAAGTTAAGAAGAAGAAGAGAAGAAGAGAAAGAGGCTGGAAGATGATGCTAAGAGGTATTTTTATGTACAAACGTATTAGAGCTACCGGATATAGTAGAATTGAGAGTGAGATAGGCCGAGTAGATAGATACTTGTCATACGATTGCCTGCATCGCGCACTACGTACAACTGGAGATTAGAAGGGCGCATAAGGAAATGTAGGAGCGAGTTCTTTTCTGACTGCTTTGCTGATATCTACCTTGTTGCGATTATGCGTGGCTTTCCCTTTTGAAGCATTTAGCTATGTAATCGTATTCGATCACGACAATCCCAATATCAAATGTTATGATATTAACTTCTATATTTAATTTATACTAAGATCCCAATAGGAATCCTATCGGGAATGCTACTAACGAGCTGAGTCTGGACAAAATCGTCATTGTGGTATGACAGAGAGGTTAATAAGTCGAATCTTATCTACCAGACCAAAAGAGGACTTGCGTCACTATCTCTGAATATAAAGAGAGAAAATCGTCTCTCTGTCTATCTCCACGTAACGGGTCGAGTTTTTTTTTCTTTCTGGTTTGCCCATGCCATCCTCTCGGCTCATCGTACTCGCGCTACTAAGATGCTAAATGTAACCTCCCATATATGTAACTCCACCAGCCAGTTCCCCATTGTCTGGGTTTCATAAACCCACCCAGAACATCAAATTGAGAAACAGCCAGACGCCAAACGATGCCCTGACGTGACCTCCCGAGTTCCTTTGCCCAGATGAGGGTATATACAACGAAAGTGACAGTAGTAACAATAGAACTGACTGAAAAGCGTAGCTCCGAATCGGGTATAATAATTAACACGTTATATGCTCCGAGTAGGATACAGTGCGATATTTGCTGATAGCTGTATGGTAAATCTCGAAAGGTCGAGAAGGCAGATGTCGATGAAATTATTGACTGGTGATATTCCAGCATGATGACCACACATCACCTTTGCCCTGACCCTGGGGGGCTAGGACAATGAATTACTGTAATACCACAGCTTTGGATTATTTGGATCAAAATCTGGCTGCTAAACTTAGACACGCTCTTCCACAGTTTTGGGTCGGATAGAGCGTTGCTCCATTTGGCGTTTCCTTTCGAGTTTGGCGTAGTGAAGTCCGCATGCATTGCACAATGTTCTTGCACCGTCAGGTCCTCGTCGCCATTCTGGGGTATCAATTCTGTTGCAGCTATGACACCGACCAGGAGGTGCTGCGCGCTATGACACGGTGAGTAAATTGAAATATTAATTATAAGATTGGACGACTTACGCCTCGTCGCTTTTTGACCTCACTAAGCCCGTACGGCTGTTTCATGCCATCGCCATACATGCTTATATCGTCATCCCCTTCGTAGGGTCCCTTACCGCGACCTTCCCGGGCCTTTTCAGTCGCTAAACTATGTTGTACTATTTCTCGGAGATTTTCGAGGGAACGTTTAATAAATTCTACATTTCCGAGCATGCTTGAAACTTCCTGGTCACTTGGCAAGCGTTCTGGGATGGGCTGCCCGCCGTGTTGCTCCGAGGCAATCTTACTATACGCCTCAGCGAAATTGCAGACTGTTCTTGACGTCCACACCAACTGCTGTATCCGTCAGCTACGATACAATATGAAAATCCAAAGGCGAAAGACTGACCTTATTTAAACAATCCTGGTAGCCCCACGACTCAAAATGCCGATTTAAAGTAGCCGAATCATAACGGCTTCTATGCATCCCATATTCTTCATCGCTGTGAATAGGTGGCCGTGGTTGATCATAAGGTGGTAAGGAAGGGCCAAGATGATGCGGAGAGATTGGAGCCCCAGGTAGTGGGTATTGACCTGGAGGGTATGGAATCTGAGATGGGGGGTTCGCATGAGAGTTTGATACCGGTTCCGGCGGCTTGGCAGGATCGCGCTGCTCTTGGAACGCATATGTCGAATTTGGAGGCCCAGGAGGACCTGGCGGTGGCCCGATATCTGATCGCTGGGAATAACGGAAGAACTTATCTTCATGTGCTGGCGGAACTGACCGGGATTCTGGGGGCGGCTCAGCTCTTAATGGGGGAGGAAGACTGTGAGCACCGGCCAAAGTCGTAGGAGTCGGTGAATAATGACTTGGCTTGGCGCCAGAGAAAACTTCTGATATAGACGGGAGGGATTGCCGTTGGGCGGGTTCCACCTCGTTCGGCGTTCTCCTACTCTCCCCAGGTGAAATCATGCCAGGCATCGGTGGCGGTGGTTGTTGATGGTAAGCAGGTGGAAACGGAGGCTTATGAGGATGGTATACGGGAGCTGGATTCATTAAAGCGGTGGCTGCCATCATCGGCACTTCGCGATGCCGTTCTGTTGGTTCTGGAAGTCGCTGGCTATACGTATCAAGTCTGCTAGCGGAGGTAAAACCACTGATATGAATATATTGATCAACTTGAGTTCGACGAAACGATGCCGGGCGCACTAGAGCGAGTAGCTCCAGATAAGAACGGACCTTTGCCTAGTGCCAGATTCACCCGCTTCCATAGCGGGACTACTACCAATGGCGGTGCCAAAATATCCAACAGATCAGCTAGGACGGCTTATGCATCTAAGCTGGCCGGGGGCACTCGCGGGTGCGAAGCAAGTAACCCTAATAACAACCCTACGGTTGAAGTTTCCGATGTCTCAAGAGCTGTATGGATGCGAAACTAGGAAGAGGACAAAGTCGATTCGGGGTGGTTTCCGTGACACGAATATTACCCAAGCTGAGTCGATCCGAGTTTACGGCAAGTCTGAAGGAATGCTCTCTAGAATGATACGAATATACGGAATAGCAGCGCAAATATGTTTCCACTATCTTTAGATCCAGTTTAGTTAGAAAGGCCTAGGTGTGATACAAATGTAGTGGGAGGAGAAGAGTGATTAGAATAATGTACGTCTTTTCTTCTTAACCTAGTTAGACGTTAAGACAAGAAGGTCTGAAATACGACACTAAATCGAATCACCACGAGTAGTGGCGGCATGACTTTTGCCCTTAAGACATTCTTAGAAACAATTCTTACCTTAGCCACTAAGTGGGTCTGGAATATAGCCCGAAGACGATATATTCTGCCTTTTGGTATTCGGATACGTGTATCGCTGTGGACGTCTCGCTAATATACTCCGTCTCAGATTCCCGAGTACCTAGTTGCTGTTGCTTCTGAAGGGTGTCCTCCTCTTAGCTAGTCTAAAATATATCGAATGTTGCAACAGGGCTTCCGAGATACTGTATCGTACAGAAAATAGAACAGATGGGTAAAGTATCCAGCAGCAGGATTGGAGATGACGTCTATGGTAGGACGCGGCAAGCGAACCAAGATTTCAGAGTGTCGATATCTTCGGGGTTACTTAAACCTCGTGACAATCGAATGGGGAGGAAGAGGAAAGGAAGAAAAAGGTTCGAAAGTAATGACGAAAACGCAGGCGACGTGTTGTAGGTATTAAGAGAGTTCTGGTTCAGAGAAATAAGCACAGCAGATTGGAGCGAGATGTATGCTACTACGTACGATGTACCATACAGGCATACATATGTAGATGGGCAAATAAACTATGCGTAACTAATAAGGAACCTAACCTATCTGCCTGTGCACGTACATTAAACCTAGGACACCCCTGCCTGGCCATTCACTACATAATGGTATGTATCATCTGTACACTACGTGCAGCAACCACAGTATGGTACGGAGACTTCGACCTTTGGGTCGCTTGAAGTGGGGGAGACGGGGGGGGGGGACAAAATATGTATGTAGGTAGGTAGTCAGGACAAGGGTAAAAAAATCTACAAGTCAGGGCTTCGCAGCCAGTCAGTTGGTACGGCGGACCTTCGCTTCTGTCAGAATCCTAGAGGTTAGGGAGCAGAGATTGCCTGAGATTTTGAGCCACTCTGCCACTCCCTTCCCCACCTTCAACTCTTAAGCCTTCACCATGACAGCCAAAACCTCACTGGTTCATCGAAAAAGTGCTGTGTCTGCGGAGATAGGCGTGGTTGTAATCTGGCAATAGCCGGGTAAGAAGACAACATAAAAGGGCAGAACGACCACGTTCAGATGCGAGCAAGGTTCACTACCGTAGTGATATGGCTGTATGGTCGGCTATGATGAGCTGGGAATAGTTAGATGACGATCTTTTGTTTCTCAAACATTATGGTAGCCCCAGTTGCATGGGACTTGTGGGCGAATCTGAGCGAACGGATCGCTCCCGACGGCCCAAGTCTTAGGGACCAATACAATATAGGTATAGCACCTAGCTTGCGTAGGAATAGCGAGTCCCGAAACCTGTCAGGTCACGCCATTATCCTCACAGCGAAATAAGGTGGCACCACTTTTTAGCAATCCAGGGCTGCCGTACGGATCCATAGACGGGTTAGACGGTGAAGGTTACAGGGCTCTTTGGTGGCGATGGATCCAATCGACTAGCATCTCTTAACAACCTTTTGGCAGCTCAGATCGAAGATGAGATGGCGGTAGACCCTACTAGAGGATGACCAGGGGGGGAGGGGTTCCGCAAAGGGAGTGTGCCTGATTGGGGAAGATGGGTATGATTCGGTACGCCTAAGGAACCCGACCTTCATGACGATCTCTCGGTGACAATCCAGAATCCAAGAAGGATGCGGATGTTTTAGAGGAGTAATGGCACTAACTGGAGATATGATACCATACCATACCTTACCATACCTTAGGGTAGGGTAGTATGTGAGATGTAGATAATTAAGAATCTGCTGATAATCTAACTTACATCATACATGTAATGCAGAATTTCGAGTCGAACAACTTTGTTCTTGGGCGACGAAGAACCTGCGGGTACCCTATTTGACCTATTATTGACCTATTGACTTATTGACATAATAGATACAAGGTTCTAAAGGAAGCTGCAGGCGAGCATCATTTGCTTGTTCGGCGAAGAAAGAAGAAAATTTTTGTAAGATTCGGAGACATGGGGTGTGGACATGGGGATGAAAAGACGGGGTTTACGAAGAGAGAGAGAGAAGAACATGGCGAGCGAGCATGAGCATGAGCAATGAGCAATGAGCAATGAGCATGGCAGTCGTCCACTATTGCATGGGCTGAAAGTTACCTATTATTACCATTATTACTACCTACATTACATAGGTGGTAGGGTACCTTAGGTACATAATGTACCTTGTAAGGTAAGTGGTAGGTACATTAGGTACATACATAATTCCGGTGTACAAAGATGTAGGTAGGTACCTATATATACGTTAGATACATCAAGGTACCTTATCCATATGTACCTAATTCCATAGATGGATATCCAGATGGATCTCTACTAAAAATGTGGATCATTGTGGGTCTATCCTTCGCATGGGTTTAGCTGTCCACTGCAGCCCGTCGAAATCTACACTACCCTTTACTTTAGTCTGGTGGAGAAGGTTGACAGGAACCAGGTATGGCCTTGCTGCAAGATGCCGAAAGTGCATGTACACTTGGAGTACCGCTCGATCCCTTTGAGGCTACACCTGAATTCTTTTTTTTTCTGCCTACCTCATACGTGTAATATATTAGCCATGCATGCAAGTAGGTATTTAGGACGCATCTAAGAGGTTTACATATATCAATACCTACCTCCTACATATGTACGTTCTTAACTTAGCCTATCATGTGTTTATTTATGCGTTTCTCGACGAATCTATTTTATTATGTCCATTCTATTACCGCTATCAATCGTGATTATCTCTTAAGTCATTACATAGAAGTAATATAGAAATAATGTAGTTACACTACACTATTAAGCCCAAGACGCCCGACACCGCGCGTTAAAAATTCTAGATCAAACATGTATTCATCTATTTTATCTGCTACAACTATACTTGTTTATGAGGGAGCATTTAACTTGCGGTAATTAAGAACTAGGTTGCAGCCGGACATATGATATCTATAACGTAAAGGTAGAACCCCGTGTGTGTACCATATAAATATCCTTAATCCAGTTAAGATAAAGCCTTGCCAAAATGCTTTGTGGGTGGGACATGCTTAAACCTTTTAATAATAAGTCTTCGAGTATATTTCTCTTTCAGACATTCGCGGGAAACAATCCAAGGTGATAAGGAGGTTTGCTGAGGAAAATCCCTAGTGTGTACCTAACATATATGGGCAAGTTTAAAATCAGATCAGATCAGACAGATAAATCGTAGATTGCGATAACGTTTACGTAGTAAAAATGTATAGTTACTACCTCTAAAGAACGTACATGGAACCTGTGTCGCCCGCTAAATCCTGCCTTTTTTTTCTTTATTCGTTTTTTGAGATACAATACGCATATTGAAGTAAATACATACATATGCAACCGTTAGGGTCGGGAATACATATCGGAAAATACATCAAAATTCAAAATATTACATAGAATAGGTACCTACGTACTTCCGGTAGCGTACCTAATGTAACAAACTCGGTATAGCGATTCAAATATATTTGCATTCAACATTTACTTGCGCGTTATATATCGCAATATATTTAACTCGCTTAATCTTCTACACCAATTTTTTTCTTCTCTTATTAACTCGTAACAACTAACCAACCATCAACGTTATTGCCGATAAAAGCTAACGTCATCTTGTTGCGAATACATGATGATAAAATATATGATAATGAATACCTAAGGAATCTCTCGTTACTGTTCTTATCAGCCAATCTAAGATCACTATTCCATCCCGGGGTTTCGGTCAGATTTGGAGAACCATGTGGACAAATGGTTCGACTGCGGTTAGCGTGCAATTAATCGATCAGGACTCGTTCTCGGCTAGATTGCCTGCGCCCCCATGCTACTAAACATTTTCTTTTTCGGAGATCTCGCATCCAGATTGGCTTGTTTCGACAGATTAGCGACCGATACGTTGAAAGGTAACTTGATGAGTTGAACCGCCCGGCTGGAATCAGTAATGGATTTTTTTAGAACACTTAGGTAGGTAGATATGTATAGGTATGTATGACACATCCATTAAGACGGTTTGATTGTGCTTCTCTATTTAGGTAGACGTGTCTGTCTGTACGCTGTTTAGCGAGCATATTACGATGTAGGCTATCAATCCCGGAAAATTGCGTCGAGTTGGAAATATAACAAAAGTACAAGTCAATTCCCGAGGTCTTGGTACTGCATCTCAGCAACCTGGGCAATCAAAGTCGAGGCTTATCATAAAAAAATATCTAGACTCAATAAACTCAATAAAGCTAAAGTAGAAAAGACTTGATGTCGGGCAGTAATAACATTTCTCTAATATCTTCTAGGCTCAGACCGAGACACTTATTCTTCCGGATACTTTTTAAAACGCGCTACTATTTTGAGCATAATTCATCA